CACCAGCGAACGCAAGTCCAAAGCCCAGCCGCCTCCTCGGTCACGACGCTGATCCAATCTCTCCCAGTCGATTCACCAACAACGGCTCTTCTACTCCTCCTCCTCCTCCTCACATGGCTAGCCCAGCGGAAGCTCGCGAGACGGGTCCACGCCGATGCGAGTGACACACTTTGTTGCACTTGCTGCCCCGAATCGCTCGTAAGTGCGCGCCGGAGATGCGCTCGGCTCGGCCGACCGAACTTGTCTGCCGCCTCCTGCCTCGGATCCGCGCCGCCAGTCCTCCAGTGTCGCGCGCCTCGCTCTCGCTCTTCTCGGCCCCTCTGTTGTGATCAGCGATTCCGCCCCGCAGTCGCCATGGCGCTGAGCGTCAGGACCGTAAGCGCGTAGCTCCGAACCCCGGATATCTTTGGGACAATGGGGCTCCGCTTATTCGGCGACTCGTCTCTAATCAGCTTAGACGGGCGGGGCCGCGACCCTACGCATCACTCACCTCGCCAATTCTCGCGTTTGTTGTTTTATCGCGGAGATGCGCCACCACGTCCCGGTGGCTTCCTCGCGCGCTAGTCGGTGCTGTCGACGAGGACGTCCGCAACGTCGGTTAATGCACCTGTTCGGCCGCTCGGAGCCAGCTGCGCATAACTATTTTTGCCCAAACTAATGCGCTTGAAAACGTGAATCCAACGAGGTAGACGGCAAGCGACGCGTTGTCTCCTTTCCATTTATTAATAAGAGTTTTGAGATACTTTTACTCCTTTCCTCCTTGTATGTACGTATCGGCCTCGGTTTGTGACGCACACAATGACAAATTTTTGGCCATTTAATCGACTGCCCAATGCAATGTAGACAATAGTTGGAGCATCGTAGCGACTTTTCGATGACTCGCGTCGAGACAAAAATAATCTTTAGTATTGTTCTAATTATTTATTTATGCTACGTTACTGCCTATCTTCTTCGTGCTTATAATGATAAAAGCGAGGTGGTGGCGGGGGGGGGGTGCAAACCATTTAGGAAACTATGGGGATAAATATTTGTTTGGTAATAGGTCATTAATTGCATAATGCGATAAAGTACAAATACATTTATTCGCTTCTATCGTTAAATAATCGAGATAAATAATATGGAGGTAGTAGGCATATTAATCACATAATGTCGGTCTATCGTACTAATGGAGTAAAGTGCAGGTTATCGAATAACTATCTATTAAACTTTTATAAATATAATCTATTTTTCAATTATATATTTCAATTAAAAGAAGAATGAGTACTTAGATTTTCCAATGATAACGTACAAATGCATCAAATTCAATAGTTTAAAATACAAATGCAATATCTATGATTAATCAATTTTATTTGAAAATAATATGAAGAAGAAAAAAAGGTTCTTTTCAACTGTTGAACTTTTAAAAACTTTATTACATCGCGCTCTTTGATTAAAAACTAAAATATAAATAAGCTTGTTGCAAAGTTCTTATTTAACATTAATTATTATTAATAAAACGTACGTATAGATATATACTTAATGAAATTTCAAGCAATGGAGGCGACCGATGAATTACGATATTTTTATCTGAGAGCTTTTTTTTTTGTCTCCATTATTCAAAAAATATCAAAAATATATGAATCTATAATCGAAATAGTTTAGATCAAATCCTAACTTTATTTCATATCTATATTTTTCAATTGGTGTGCATTTTCTACCTGGACATTTATTATCTAATATACGTACGATCCTGTTAATTCAATAAATTCTATTTATTTATATATATATATATATATATATATATATTTTTTTTTTTTACAAAATGATTGGATTAGTTTTTGGCAATAATTATGCTTCCCTTTTAATCAATAAATTAGTAAAAACTACTCGATTAGCATAGTTTGGGAAATGTAGGTGTCAATATAGCATAAAATAAATTCAAATTAAATATATTAAAACATTTTTATTAACTTATTATTAAAAAAATAATGAAATAAATAAAATACTGCTGTATATTTGTAACTGAATTAATCGGTACATTAGTAAATTATAAATCAACAACACAATGGATATAAAAAATGTAAATTTTTAAAAAAAAAAAAAAAAAAAAAAAAAAAAAAAGAATAAACATTTGAGCAATAATGAGTTGATAATTAAGTATTGGAAGAAACTTAATTGAAATATAATAAGTAACGAAAAATGTTACTTATGATCATTCGTAATAAACTCTTTGAATAATAACGATAATAATAATGTCACCATCAACTGGCACATTAAAGAAATAAATCATATATAATATAAACTTTGTAATACATTGTAATAGACACCGAATATTTTCTCCGTCCGTAAACGTAAATGCTTCCAAAACGTAAGTTGCGCAACATAATATCAACATTAATGCCGCATTACCTCAAAATGTACCAGCTGACAATTTTTAAATGTACGCGCTCATAGGCATAGGTTCTGCCGCAATTAGTGGGCCGAACATTGCCAGGCCCAATGGTCTCGGTAAATCTGGCTGGGCTATCATAAAGTGCTCATCGCATACGCTCTACGTTCCTTCGTTCCTAATTCGCATGCATTGGTCATAATGTTTCACAAATTCGTAAGTCAAGGGCTTGCGAACGCTTTTGCCAACGTCCCACCAAGCTAAGGGAGAGGCGTGATAATTGTAAACTGTCGATTCGTTTACATAGCAAGATATTTTGAGTTAATTTCTGCTTCGAGTCGCTCGCCAACACAAAAAGAAGATAGACGTTGATTACGGTCGCAACGAATCTCCAAGCGGCTCGTTATCCGCGAGCTAATTTTAATAGAATAATCGATATTTTACCTCGACCCTTGTAAATACTAGCTGCGTTTAAAATACATACGAGGATATGTTGTGGACAGAGCCAGTGTGTAAGTGGAGCCGGGGTCGAGCCATGGGGAATTAAGGCACTGTCTTTGTCTATCGAATTAGCCGACGCGCAAGTTAAAACGGATGATCGAGCAGACGCTTGAACGCTTGACAGATTCTTTTTCTTGGACAGAGCTCGAGGCTGATGCTGGATCGATACGCTCTATCCAGCTATCGAGCTTTTACGATGAAGCTTTGAAGAAGCACAATGTACTTGAGGCCTCAAGCGTCATCGAGCCACAAGCCAACGTATAATTCTAGTCTAATCCAGTAGCAATGATCCGTAAGGCGAGCGAGGATCATCGGTTCGTCCGAATCCATTACCACGTGCTAGTTACGATCGTCATTCATGACAGCCGAGTTTTTTTCAAGACTCGATTAGCCCCACCGATGGAGCCTATATCTGCCCGTAAAAACGAACGTTATGAGATGAGAACGTTAATCAAATTCTTTTTCTCTATTTCTCTTTGTTAAGGAGTGACGGGGAGAGGGGAAGGGGCAGAGAGAGAGGGGGGGTGGGAGGAGGAGGATGAGGAGGAGACTATTTCTTGTAAAACTCGGCAATTCCAAAGGTCTTTCTATCGAATAATAGCAAGTAGCTCGAGAGTAGTCGTGCCGTTGACAGCCGTTAGTCAATGGCACTTGAATAGTCCAAGAGGGGTTTGGTGTCGAGGAAAAACTGCGTAGCTCGATGAGCAAGAGAGCCGAGCGAAGGCTCCAAAGAGCGCCAAAGTCGTAAGGATACTCGGGAATACAAGTTGAATAGGGCGGTACTCGTTGATTATCGACGATAATCTGTTTAAAGCAAGAAACTTGGCTCGTGGATATAGTATAGTCGAGTTCTCTTGTGCGTGACGTTTGTAGCGGGCAAGAAGACAATTTCCGAAAATTTTTGAACAAATTAACGGAGCGCGTCTTCGGTAAAAATGATGCCTATTATCGCACTGATAATGGGTAACTAATGGCTTATCGACCAAGAAAATCGCTTTTCCCAATGGGACAACACTTTTTACATGAAAAATCTCTTCGAGAGAAATAGCGTTTATAGGATAAACGTATTAAATTGGCCAAAAATCCGCTATTTCTTACTTTAAGCGCGAGGGCATATTTAATTTCTTTTGAGAAAAGTACGAATGCGCGCAAAATATGGTTTCATATGGTTTCATTATATTTGTCCTCTGGAGCGTGCGCGAGGATGTAATCGGTGCATCTTTCTGCCGTCTGGTTATGTTAGGAGTCGGGAAGAGAAGTAGCATAAAGCGCGGAGCAAAGGCATAAAAGAAAAGGTACGGATAAGGAAGACCAGTCAGTCTTTCAAAATGTTCTCCGCAAGGATTCCCATCAACTCCTGCACAGCTAAGATTCGGAATATCCATTCGAGACATTAACAAGTAAGATGTGACATTTATCCATAAAAGCGACGATTATTTGCTATAATAATGTGCGAGACTAAACGTAGTTATAATTTGAACGAGTTTCATTATCATTATGATAGGAATTTGAGATTTTGCCGAGTATTGCAAGATAAACGAATACCCATGCATTCCGTTTGTAATTTGCAAATGGGTTCAAATTAAATTAATTCCTTCGCTGACTTTTCAAAATTTCCGATTACCGTTTATTTGCCTTAAGGCAGACGACACGCCTAATATACTTTTTTCAGTATAATCTTAATAATTCTCTAACTTAGTGATTCGCGTTGGGGTGAGGAAACTAAAGAGTTGCTTACCTAATAAAGCACCAAGTACTTTGACGGCCTGCAGATATAAACTTTTTCAAGCTTAATGCGAGTTATAGCGAATCCACTCCCTTGTGCACGGTAACTCGCAACGTTCGTGCATAAGGAGATGTCGATCCTCTTGCATTTCGACAAATACGAAATATTTGGCATCCATTACAAAACATATGTAAAATTGTTTATTTGTCTGGTGACAAAGAGACGTTTAACTTTAGAAAAAAAAAAAAAAAAAAAAAAAAAAAAAGAAGAAAAAAAAATGGTTGCTTAAGAATATAAAGAATATAAAGAATTAAATTATTGTACAATTATGCAATTGACAAATGTCGAATTATATAAAAACTATAACAAAACAGTAGCCTTTAATCAAATAATTTATACTACAAATAACCTCATTCAGCATTTGTTTATTGTGCGTGTATTACGTAATTATCAATGCATTTGATTACTTATTTTTCCATCTTTCTTGTATTTCCAGCAAGTGTGTGTATGCTCGTTGTGAAATATTTAACGCAGCGTTTACTTCTTGTAGATTAGGTTCTCCTATTAAACTCAGGCTACACAGACCTAAATTAACGGACAACATATTTATCGCATTGTTAGGCATTTACATAATAATGCTCATTATCCTATCGTTGAATATGAAACCTTTAATATTTACCTAAGTATGCGTGTAGAGGATCCGTACGCTTGTTATCGTGTTTACCAAATCCTCCCATTATTGTATTTTGAGTATCTAGAACAAATGCCCTGTTTTCTTCGCAATCTGATAATTCTTTAACACCGAGTAACTGTAACGTAGCTCCAATCCAAAAACTATAACAAGAATCAGATGGTTTACCGGGTCTTCCATGGAATCCTCCATCTTGACTCATAAGACACCATCTTTTTAATCTATCTAGTTGCTTCTCTGAAAGAACGTTATTAAGCTCGTTCATAAGATAAAGACTAGCCACTGCACAAAACGTAGATCCACCGTGAGATTCTAATCCAGGTCCTTGACCCACTGCTCCGTCATATGACTAAAAATAGAAATAAAATTTTCATTTAATTTTTTAAGAATTTAGTTCCACGACTAAGAAACTATGTACGTATTTACTTAATTATTACTACCATCTAGCTTTTAATAATCAAATTATAAATTACTTACTATGCTCTTCAGTATGTAGTCAATTGCTTTTGCCTTATTGATCCCAGACCAGTCATCCAGAATAGCTGATACACAGCAGGCACAATAAACAAATCTCATGTCGCTTTCGTAGCCCATAACCATAGCAGTAAAAGACCCATCAGGATTCTGACAAGCTCTCATTCCCTCGATAATAGACTCCTTATCAATTCCGCTTAAATCGTCCCCGAGAATTAATAGACTGGCTAGACCAGTATACGTCATCGCTAAATGGCCGCAATGATACTTTGTTTCAATTTCCTTAGGAATCATAGTGGATGATTGAAAGCCAGATCTGGGTCCAGCACCACTGATTTGCAATCTATAAATCCAATTTATTGCATCTTCCTTTTCTTCTCTTAAATAATCATCGAGAGCACCAAGTAAATCTAGGCCCGATATCGCAAAGAATGCAAATGTTAATCTCATAGCGTCGGGACATTCGCTTGGCATCATTTGTAAAATTATATGAAAGTATCTTGTGTGTTTCTTTTTCATTAGTTTTGGAGTCATTTTCGGATGAATTTTGGTCTGTATCTTGAATCTTGCTTTAATTTTTAATAGAAAATAATACAAAATTATTAAACAGCATAATTTACAATTTGTACATATTTATTCATTGTCCTTCAAAAGTCAATATTTATAAATAAATGTATTGCTAATGGGTTCATTTTGTTTAATCTGAAACAATTGTCAAAAATTAATATATGAATTGTTGTTCTCGATTGGTTTAACTTATCAAAGTTTTATTAATCACATTTTTGATATTTGCAACTTACTGATATAAAAATGTTGGCGATGCCTAAAAGCAATCTTTTTGCAAGATAACCTAAATTTTGTAAACATCAGCTACTCATGATGTTAATGATGTCTAGAGTCATCAGCAGCTACGGAGCTCAACTCTTTACTCGAAAATATGTGCTACGTGCATGCATAACTATACGCTTATAAGTCGAATACAAAATATATATATATGTTCGTGCGCGTGTGTAGGCGCGCGCGCGCGCATCTACGTACGTAAACGCAAATATACGCGAGTAAGTGTTTGCGCGCGTGTGTGCACATTGCGCGTAAGTATATATACTTATGCTGTACATTTATGTACTTTTTTATCGACATTCGAATTCTTAAATGAGTTTGCTTAAAGAGGTGCAGATGGCACTTTATACTTCGAAAATACGCTGAAAATTCCGATGTGAAAGAGATAAAATACCGTTGCGTATAGTTTTCCCTTTTCACACTTAACTCGGTACTTGCCTTAGCAACCAGGATTTAAATAAAATAAATGTAGTTAATTTAGTACTGTCATTACCAACCCGAGTATGTTTTTTTTTTTTTTATTTTGCTATTAATAAAGAGACAAATGAATATTTGTATATCATTAGGATAAAATAGTTTAATATCATATATCCACAATACTTGTATAATGTGATATAATAACGATAATAATAATAATTTTTATTAATTTTTAGTTTGAAGCTATTGTTATTAACGCATTTATCTATAAAACATTGTATTACAAAAGTAAAAGTAATTTGTCATCTATGAAGAGCATTAAAGGTCGATTATATATAATATTTCTCATAATGTTAGTAAAATCAATATACATGTATGCATGCACATATAATTAGCACTTTGGTGCATGTGGTAAGTTATAAATAAAAATATCGTTAAATACCTTGGATATAATATTTTTTCTTTAAATTTACTCAATAACCTTTGATCTAAATAGATCGTTTTAAAAAATCATTGCCAAACAACTAAATATAAATATGCACATAATTCTTTTTAAATTAACACCAAATGAAAATAAATGAATATAGAAATAGGTTATGTAGAAAAATTACAATAGCCACTGCCCTTAGTAAATAGCTTTGATTTATCATAAAACATCATGGTAATTTGTTAATTTCTGTCGTTGGTTTAAAAACCATTAAAAATCCATTTCATTATTAATACCGGATTTTATTTGGTTTTGGATATTCGAATTGGCGGTTAACTTATTTTTCAAAATTAATTAATCGTTAGAAATTATCATAAACATTGTCGGTCACGTGAATATGTAATAATTGAAAAGTGCTGATCAAACGCTTGATACTACCTACCACAAAGTGTCGCATGTCACACGAATATTCAATGATTCATATCGTTAAACTACCATATCGAATAAAAATACGTTACGGTCCATGCGATCTTTAAAAACGTGATATTTAAAGGGTCCGTGCATGCTCTCGCAGATCCTTGAAATAGTTTCCTCCGTAGCTCACTTAATGCAGGTGATACGAGTTTATACCATTGCGATATACGCGATCGAGAAATCATTTGGGCAAGCTGAGCTGTTCGGTAATGCGAGCCCAGGTCACCTCTGACCCTTCTCCCCGACACATTGAGATCCACGTATTTCGCACTCGATAACGGCTAAACAGTGCCGAAAAGCAAAAATTGCATTTACGCGTAAGCGAGGCTTCTTGGAAAAAAGCTGCACACACGAAAGCATGTACAGGCGACGGAATGCTACGTACCATCGGAGGCAGACAAGTGAGGCTGGCGAGTGAAAGAGAAAGAGAGAGAGAGAGAGAGAGAGAGAGAGCGCGAGCGAGAGAGAACACGGCTGGACGAGATGAAATAGAGAAAGACGGAGACATTCGGCGTTTAGCGCACCGACATAGGAAAGCGACGACCGGCGAAATACATTTCGCGGCTGCGAGTTTGTCCTTCGGAAAATTTTACGCGTATTTCGTAATATACTTCGTATTTTCTTCGCCAGCGGAAGAGCCAAGACTCGCGCAACTTTACTGTCAGACCCAGCAGTGCCATTTTCCGGGTCGCGGATGCCCAGGATGGTGGTTTATTCTGCTTATCGTTACCAGGTATAACCTCAACAATCGCGTGTGGTTCGCGTCTAACATCGATAGAACAGCATCGATTCAAACACACGGTAAGCCAGTTTTAAATTCAGACACTTGTTTTTTTCTTTTCTTTTTTTTTTTCTATCGCGACCGAGGATTTAAAGCACGCCCGCAGCTTTGTTATCCTTATCTCGGGCATATTGTCGCAATCGCCGACGATCGTTCACAAGGTCGTTCATATTGCAAAAGAACATATTCGGAGATTTCTCGTATGAACTCAGATTTATCCACAATGATAAATCACAATGGATCGTCGAAATTGCGATTTGCCTTGGTTTGCTGGTTTGCAGGTTTGCAGATTAGGCGGCATTTAATATGTATTTTGGATATTTTATGTCATTAACGATTAGCGTTTAATGAAAAGTTTGAAGAGAAAGAAAGTGAAGAAGGAAGATTCATTTCAACAGTTTTATGATGTGCGAATACAATGATTAGGGATGATTCGTTCACGACGGGGATAATTTATGAAATTATACAATCCCGTTCGAGGCCGTATTTCAAGAAATCATTTTATCTCGCATAAACGATCGATTTATAATATTACGTTGATTAAACAGATGTTACAATACGTACATTTTTAATAATATTAAGTACGCACGATAATATATATTTATAATGATTTGTGCGAGTAAAAAAAATTTGATTAAATTTATCTAGAATTACTCTAAATGACTCTGTATCAATAATTAATAAAATGTAGTAGTATTTAAATACTTTTTATTAAATATAAATCGAGTGTATTATATTCTCTGTATTGCATAGAATGCCTACATATAATAATTATTTTATTATTGAATTAAGAAAAAGTTATAGACGTTTAAGTTATGTCTAAGCATGTCATTTAAATTTTGACATTTAAGGTTGATGTTATCTTTAATGTAAATTATTAAATTTGTTTTTACGATAAAATAATATGGAGTTTTATTAATATTTATCATATAAGAAATATAATGAAATAAGTTGAAGTCTTGGAAAATAACATAAAGTTATTACTTATAATTATAAAAATCAGCAGAAATAGATAAATGTATAGTTAATTTTTTTATGAATGGATTTTACCGTAATTATTTAAGAATATTCGTCAAGGGATGATTGTATTATTTTTTAACTATTGAACATTTAACTTGTCATATAAATAAGTCTTTTTATAAAATACAAGAATCATTGTGAAATAATCAAGATTAATATACCATTTATTTTCCTCTATATATTGATTAATTGTGCCTACCTACATTTATATATATATATATATATATATATATATATATTATTTTTTTAATTATACTCTTATCAAAAATATCAGTTTGTTTGAAAATCATTGAATCTGACTACAATATTTTATAATACAGCTAAGCATGGATATAAGGTCGTGGAGTCAATTGGAGCATGATTAAGTGTAATACAATGCATTACAAGGTATTATTTTTAAGAATAATGTTAAATTATAATAAAATAAGTAGTTTTAATATTATTGTTAAAATTAATTTAATTTAATTAATGTAATATTAATTATTGAGATGTTTAAAACCATCTGATTAATTTAAATTTACAAATCCGTCATAAATATTATAGACTTAAATTCAATATGTACTATTTCTATTAATATTCTTATCTTGAAGTAAAAAAGGCTGTTATACAAATTTAAACTAAATACCAGAAGTTGATTAGAACTTTATATAAAGATATAGATAACAATTAAAGATTTTATTGTACTTAATTTATATAAAGTATATAAATTATAAAAAAAAAGGCAATTTTAGACAAGCGTAGATCGCAGTGTTTCGTGTTATAAATTTGAAATTTCTAATTCCAAATGAAATGAATCAATGGTATATTTGATTATATGGCTAAAGAAATAGTATATTAATTAATATCTGAAAAAATTTTTGGTATAAAACAGTATCGATAACATTGCTTTAGCACTTCAAATTAAGAATTAATTTTATAGATTTTAGGAAAGAATTCACTTAAATGCGCATTTAATGAAAATATAAACATACTTGTATTATGTAAAGAAAATGGTTTCTACATATTAATATTATTGATTATAATTTTAATGTAAAAATTTTTTGTTACCAATTATTTTCTTTCAGATTATAAGTTATATAATCGAAACAAAATTTTGGCTAATATTTCCTTTATTAAGATGTTTATTAGGATATAAAATTGAGATTATAAAAGCGTTGAAAGCAAAAAAACTGGTATTACAATTATCGTTCATATTTTACTTTACTATAAGCATTTTTTCATTTAAAAAATAGTGTCAAATATGAATATGAATTGAAAGAATTGGCTCTTTACTATAAAGACAAACTAATGTTAATATAATTGTAAATCATTGTACTCGTTAATAAGTAATAATAGATTGTTTCTTACAAAAAGATGATGTTATTTTCCAAATATTCAATAAGATTTACAAAATAAAAAAGTAAAAATTATACCAAGCTTTAAATATATACATATAAGCATTCAATTTGTGATATATATTTAAGTTTTCATGCCTAATTAATCAAATGTATTCCTGCTATATCCTTTATCCTTAAAAATACTTTGAATTGTATTTGTAGTATACATTTTACATAATAGCTTATGGGATCTTTGTTAAGGGATAATTAAAAAAAAAAAATATATATATATATATATATATACATATTCTCTCAACTGTTTAAAATTAATTAACAATATGACAATTCGTTTCCTAATACGTGTTTCATAAATGAAAAATTTTCTTCAACAATTCTTTAAAAAATTTTTTATAATCAGTAGAAAGTAAAAGAAAGAGAAGTTAGCATTTACCAAACGATTAAGAGTTGCGATTGATATAGTAAAACAACGAATTACTTTTGCGGTATTTATAACTATACTCCATGGATTATCAATACGGTAAAAAATTCAGTGTAACCCATATTAAATTGATCAATAAGAGCATCGAGAACCGAATAATCTCTTGTCCCATAGTACTTAACGTGTTGTTGATTAATTTTTATTAAAAATCTTATCTAAATTGGGCCGTTTAAAATTATGTGAGCATTATATTATTTGTAAATGAAAATTTAATCGAGCAATCAAAGGCATTTAAACGCTATTGAGAATTTAAGAGTAAATTAAATTAAATACGAATCCTATAGCGTAAATAAAATAATTTTAAAGAATAAAAGAATTTATACGCTCGCGCGCGCATTCGCTTGTATAGATATAAAATGTTGTCCACGAGACCATGAACCAGATGGCGCATAAGTAAGACATTGTTCTAGCAATCGTCAAATGAAAAAAAAAAAAAAAAACACGAGTTGTAAATTTAAAAGATTTAAATTTTCAATGTGCCGTACGGGTGTTCGATTGCATTGCCATAACGTCGAGCACTAGATTTTGAAATCGTCTATAAAAAAATAACGCCGATCTGTCTCCTACACAATCACGTCTCGTCTTCACACTTTCCTCCCCAAATCTTTATTGCGTAGCCTGCAAAAAAAAAAAGAAAAAAAAAACCCTACAACATTCCAATATCTCGTGGCGCGCGCAGTTTATTACAATCCAACGCAAATAGCACGAAAATGGCTTCCAGGCCATCTCGCCAGACGACGACTGCTACGACCACTACTATTCCTGCTACACCAACAACAACACCGACGACTACTACTACTACTACCGCTAGTCCAATTGCCGCCAGACGTCCCGATCATTCGCCGTCGCCAAAAGACCCCCTCCCGCTCCAACCCCTGCAACGACAAATAACGAAGAGAAGAGGAAGAAACGGCTGCGGCGACGGTGGCGGCAACGCAGAACTCGCGGTCGTCGCCTTCCCGACCCGAGCGATGCACGCGGCTCCAACGGACGGGCCAATCGCGCTCGACCTCGCTCTCCTCGTCGCTCTCGGCTCGGATTGTGTTTTGTCCGTCTCTTTCGCTCCACGCGGGCCCTGCGTCACTCGCTCTCCGATCCCCATTCGTGCGCACGACCTCTAATATACGCCTCTCGCGATTCGTACGTGGCACGCCCCGAACGTCGGTGAGCTGAGAGGCCAGCAGCAGCAACGCGCGACTTCCTTCTCCGGTTTTGCGTGCGCTGCTCCTTGCTCGCTCTCTCCTTTCCGGGACTCTCTGCGAGGAAGGATGGCTCAGAACAATTACTTCGGATTCACTCACGGTGGCACTCAATATGGGTATGATTAAATCTTTCTTATTAATCAAGAGGGCCCGGGATTTGGGATCGGTCTTTGGGATGGGATGGCGGCGGAGGCGGTGGTGACGGCGGTGGCGGCGGCAGTGGCGGCGGTGGCGGTTAACGGATAGCGGGTAGCGGGTTGCGGGTGGCGATGACAACGGATCGTCGATGGGGCGGTGGGACGAGGGGACGATGACGATGACGATGACCATGACGACGACGACGACGACGACGACGACGACGACGACGGGGTTGTGCTTATAGTGGCGACAACAGCGGCGGCGATGGCCGCTTAACTCGCTGGGATAATGCTTCGAGATACGATGATCAACTACGGGGACGAGGTCGCGTTGCTCGCCTCGCGTTCCTTTTCCTTGCCGGCACGTCTCAGCCGCCATTACCCTCGGTTTTCTCGGAGCCGCTTTGGCGTCCGACTCCACGGCGTCCTTACCCACCATCGAATTCGCACCCCCCCCTCCCTCCCCTCCATTTCGCCCACCCACTCTCTTTCTCTCTAACCCTATGTATCGCGTCCTCGTGGTGACCGGAGAGGGAAGGGAACAAGAAGTACACTCGAGGGCCCACGGACGTGATCTTGTAACGCTAACCGAAGATGGGAAGCCCCAAAGGTGCCGTCTTCCCTTCTCCGCCAAACCATGCGAGAACGCGTGGAATCTTCCATTATACGCATCGCGTGCTTGGTTCCGTTCCGATTCGGGCTCGGGTTTGCCGAGGCACGCGCCCCATGCATTATCGAGCGGCATTCGTTTCTCTTTGATTTTTTCTCTCTTCGCACGGGCACGCGCGCACATGCACATGAACAGGAAAATGAACATGAACATGAACATGAACATGAACATGAACATGAACATGCGCACGCACCCATCTCTCGTTCCTGGACGATGCCACTCGTACTAGGTTCACCGTACCCTCTTCCCCACCCTCAATTTTCTCACGTTTCTCTCGCTCCTCGTCCCTCCCCCCCCCCCACCCCGCCCCTCGCCCATCCTTCATCGCGCTCCCTCTAGCGTTACCACCCCCGTCGTCTCCTTCCTCCCTCCTTCCTCCTTCCTTCTACCGCCGCTGTCTTTCTTCTGCCCACCATGGTCCCTTCGCCGTCTTACCCCCCTCCACCCCGCCCCATCCTCCGTTACTTTGACAACGACTCTTCACGAGTCCTGAATTTATTGCAAAATCGGGCTGCTCGATGCGAGAATTATTTGCCACTACGTTTCTTACGAGGCGTTCGATTATTGTAGCATTAGGATCGATCGATCGATCGTTTACGATGGAATTTATGCTGAATAATTATTGACACCATACAGGGCCACTAGTGCGGCAGCCTACCAGACGGGTCAGGCTGGTTATGCCGTAACACCGGCGGCGACGGCAGCTACTTACACTCAACGACCTGCTGCCGCTGCAGCAACTGGCTACGAAACTTACCAGGCAGCTGCAGCTGCCGCTGCTACGGGCACAACATACGCTGGTGAATATTACATAATTATTTTTCGGCTCGGGTCTTTCTCGTTTAATGGGGGGGAACATTGATGCGCGTTATTATGTAGTTCGTTTGTGCCGTCGAATTTCGGCTAGTAAACTCGAATTGTTGACCCTTATATTTACAACCGCCTACACAACTCTCTCTCTCTCTGTTTCTCTCTCTCTCTCTCTCTCTCTCTCTCTCTCTCTCTCTCTCCCTGTCTCTATCTCACACGCACGCGCCCGCGCGCGCGCGCGTACACACACACACACACACACAGGCGCGCGCGCTCTCTATATCTTTCTTTCTTTCTCTCTTTCTTTCTCTCTTTTATTCTACTTTAGCTACAAATCCAGGAACCGTACCACAGACTTACGATTACGGTTACGGTCGAGCAGCACCCGCTGCGACATACGACGCCACGAAAACCTATTATCAACAACCTGCCGCCGCTGCGACTTATACAACCACGGAGACACATTATCAGGCTGCGAAGCCTGCCTACAGTACAACCAGTGCTTATGCTGGGGCGCCACGACAAGCTACGACCACCGGTCAAGCCAAGACCTATCAGGCGTCGAGCACGGCTTATCCGCAAACGAATCCCTCACAAAACACAACCTATTCGTCGGGCTACTCAGCCCCGGCTGCTCCGGCTGCAGCTCCAACCGCAGCCACCAACAGTAAGTATCTGAAAAAGTTGTGGTTATAGGCATTGGTTAAAACCCGTGGCAGTCTTGAGCAGACAAACGTGTTATCGTAAGACTTGTGCCTCGTTCGTTGTGAGTGATTTACACGAGTAAATATGGGCGTGCGATGTGTTGTTTGTTGGGTTTAGGTTAGCGAGTATATTCATGGAAATTTAAAAGAGGAATCGAATCGATGGGACGTACCTTATTCCTCTAACCAACGAATAGGGCTAACAGAGTACACAAGTTTAAGAGAAAATTGCATTCCATTTATGTAATACGCACGATGTACTTTAGTAGAATTTTTTATTTCGAGGTCGTTTATCAATTTGTCAATGTTTCATTATATCCATCCTGTATGCTACTTTCGAGTATTCATAAGACAATGCCGACAATGTACATTTTTGAGCTATGTATTTTAAATGTATTTCACCGTAAATCAATAATGTTCTATTAAAGCCGTGATGCCTGTCGGTTACCTTGAATTGTCTGTTGAATTTTTGCACTTTGTATGAAAAGTTTGTTTAACATTCTTTTATAATTATAAATCTGTTTACATGCGTACTATTTATACAATTGTATAAGGAGTTTTAAAGAAAGAAAAAATCTAGAAAAGCATCCATGTTTAATGGTCGAACGTGCAAAATATCAAGTTCTATTGATTTTTTTTCTTTATAGCAAATTGGCGTAGTAATAATAAAGAGTCCGTTGGGAATTTTTTTTATTATTTTAGCAAAGTGGAAACCATGTTTTAAGACAGTTTTTCAATATGCGTACTAATAAATAGATCATCACCCAGTTTGTTTTTTTCTTCCCTTCCCCGCGAGGTAAATAACCTCGTTACAACGTTAGAACGCGTCGTGGGAAATATCAAATGCGCAAAATTAAAAATTCCATTACGAAAAACTGATTATTAGAGGCAATATTTCAATACATCGTTCATCAACGATGACTCAATTCTATTTCAAATCACCTATTCGTTGGCCATTCTATAAAACCTGTTAATGAAAATGGGAACGAAAGTAACTTTAAAAATTTATTAACAATCGAATACCTTTTCGACAACAACTATCGTAATTGTAACGAGAGTGCGCGCGAGGTTGCTCTATTATTTCGAAAAATCGTCGTTAATTTCGAGAGTGATGAAGGGTCACAGATAACTACCGAAGGCAGAATAAAAGCGTCAAAGCACTCACGACTTAATTTCATTTTCTTCAGAAACGGCGGGCACAGCGTATTCCGGCTACGACGCAGCACTGTACAGCGCCGCGACGATGTATGTCGCCCAGCAAAGTGCCAACAGCAACTCGACTAACCCGAAGACGAGAGGTTGGCAGGGCTACGGACGTAAAGGCTTCGGATCGGGAGCCGGAGGTGGAGGCGGTGGTGGCGGCATGAAGGCCATGCGTCCTAAGCAGCCACCCAAGCCCCAGCAGCTGCACTACTGTGACGTGTGCAAGATAAGCTGCGCGGGGCCCCAGACCTACCGCGAGCATCTTGAGGGCCAGAAGCATAAGAAGAAGGAGGCCTCGCTGAAGGTACCTCAACAGCCACCCGCGCGAGGTGCCGGTAACTCCCTGAGGTGCGAGCTCTGCGACGTCACCTGCACCGGCAACGACGCCTACGCGGCTCACATAAGGGGCGCCAAGCACCAGAAGGTCGTCAAGCTGCACACGAAGCTCGGCAAGCCGATACCGAGCGCCGATCCGACCGTCCTCAATCCCAAGCCGAGCGCCGCCAACAAGGCCGACGCCGCGAGCAAGGCCGACGCTGCCAAGAAGGGAGTTATCACCGCCACCCCAAAAATTAACTTTGTCGCCTGTGAGTATCGTTTGCTTATCAATTATCACTTCTCGCTAGTCCGCTCTGCTCTTTCGTCTTTTCTTATTGTCGATTTAGCTACTTGCATGATAAAACAGTTCAGTGTGAATTTACACGCCAATCCGGCAACTTTTAATTGTCCACGAACATACATAAAGTAATAGGATAAATGTTTGCTTTTCTGTTTGCTCTTCTGTTTTATTACAATGGACAAATCAGACAAGAATTAAAAGTGTCTAGTAAGCTCTATTGATTAGTGTGTCGGGCTTACATTTCATTTCATTCATCAAGATAATGAGATGAACAATAAAATAAAAAGCGGACAAACAAATGATTCGGATTACAGCTTAACTGTAATTACGATGATTAAATTATTGTTTAAAATACGTGTAGTTATAAATCCTGGTGTTATCGAGTTATTTGAGTACGTTACAAGTTTGAAGTAATCGTGCATATCGAGTCTTTGTTTTTCTTTAATTGATTTTGTTTATTATTTAAGCATTTAAATGTACTCCGATGATAGCTTGATAATAAAATTTGCAATAACAGCAAAGAAAAAAAAATTACTCCCAAATTCAATTGGTGAGCCCATAGGTAATTGAAAATGAAGATAATACGATGATTCATTATGAAGGGAAATAGGCGAGATAATTACAATTACAATTGTCTCGTATAATCCCTTGTATTTTGAGTAAATCCTTCAATATTTGATATACAACAATTTAATTTATTCCCATAGCATAAAATTCAATTTTATTGTTCCGATATATAATAATTTTATCTTAAGTGTGAAATAACAAATGTGACAGCAAAAGCAAATAATCCTTCATTGGTCGGATGCTAATTGAATTTCTTGCAAGTTGAATGAAAAGTTTCAATTTTCAATGCAAAGTAGTGGAATTAAAGTGGAACGGAGAGGGGGTGGGGCTTTAAATGTAACATACAATTTTTTACGATAAGGCAAAACATTTTGTTTTCAGCTGGAAATCTAGGAACGGTGAATCAAGGCAATGACTCAAAGATCGACGACAACGATGATGGTAATGAAGAACAGACGACCGATGAAAAAGATATTCAGCCTGTTGGTCAAGAATATATCGAGGAGAATAAGTCAGAGGATGGCAAGATAATTAGTTTCAATTGCAAACTTTGTGAGTGTCGTTTTAACGACCCGAATGCCAAAGACATGCACATGAAAGGTCGACGGCATCGCTTCGCTTATAAGAAAAAAGTTAATCCTGATCTTGTTGTGGACATGAAGCCAAGTCTCAAAGTACGTTCCTACTGTAATACATTAATTTTTGCGACACTTAATATTAATGAGTAAGTGGATTAGGGCGAAAGCGGAGAAAGTGCAATAACATTTGTTTATAGTAAATCTCGGAAAGGATAGAAACTTGCGTTTCCTGTAATTAAAAATGAATGTGTGTATCAAGGTATCGTTGATATATCGAGACGGTATATGTATTTAGTCACTTAGAGACAATATGAAAGTAAACGATTTTCATTAAATTAATTGTTAATAAGTAAGATAACATAATAACAATAGTTGAAATGTAGTATTTGTCATCATTGTAATAAGAAATCCAAATAGTCATCGAATTAGTATTAAATTGCCCGAAGAGAAAGCTTATTATATTCTGCGATCTTGAATTTCGTTCTCAATTTCATACACTCTGCAGCAACGAAAACTATTGGAAGAGAAACTGCGTCACCAACAGATGCGCGATGAGTATATGCGCCGTCGTGATGAGATGTCGCAAATTGGCCCCATGGGCCCCATGGGTCCTATGATGGACGAGGAGATGATGTACTGGGAAGAACGACGTCGCTACGAAGAGGACTGCGAGTATTACGAGTGGTATCGTCGGTATGGTCGTGGGCCAGGTGCTCCACCGATGCCCAGGCCGTTTCCTGGTCCACCGCCCATGATGATGTTTCCAGGCCCGCAACGGCGATCCGACACCTCGGATGATAAACATGTGATCGCGCATCACTCGACAATTTATCCAAAGGAAGAGGAATTACAGGCTGTTCAGAAAATCGTATCGCATACAGAAAAAGCACTTAAGTTTGTGTCAGATGCCCTTGCTGATTCAGGTAATGCTGAATTTTACCTACCTCTGCTCTTGAAATAGATTATTTAATGTAAAGGGATTTTAAAACGTCTACAAACACGAAATCAATATTTGCTTATCTTGTATGTATCATGTATGTTTGTATATTATGTTTGGTAAATTAATTTACATTTACCTTGTTCTTCGAAAGGTGGAAAAAATAACAGTCGATGCGAACAATCGGAGAATTGTGTATTAATTTGATTAAACCGACTCCCATGTATTCTGCATAATTTCTTAAGAATATCCTTTATTTAGCAAACATTACTCGATGATACGTAGGATACTCGTAAAAATTTCTTTCTCTCTGTGTGTGTGCGTGTGCGTGCGCGCGTGCGTGTGTATAATAAATAAAACGTTGGTATAATATTTACATTTAAAAGTATTATCTTGCATTTAAAATAAATGTTATTTATTAATAAGCTACATGTTCAGTTATTTGATTTATAATCAGTAATTCACTTAAACTATTAGCGCCAGCAACAACTCCTGCCAATACAACAAACGTAAATTCTAATGACGCGTCAAAAAAGGACGAAGCCAATAAAAAGGCCGCTCCACAAAAGGAAGACGGTAGCGATGGTAATCTGTTCTCTTTTCAAAAAGAAAAGGAGGACTCGAGAATTCTTCGAGGTGTTATGCGAGTAGGAAATTTGGCCAAAGGTCTTCTCTTGTCGGGAGATAACCATGTCTGTCTTGTAGTATTATGTGCCGAAAAACCAACGAGGTTAGTTACAAAACCATTGTGTAAGCATGAATTCATAATTATAAGTAAGTCGATTGCTTGCTGCTGATCGTAATTCTACTAATTAATAATATATTATTCAACGTCAATTTATCTTTTTAATTTAGAATATTCTGATAAAAATTGCAAATAGTAAATGATTTTCTGCACAATTTTTTCAATGTTTCATCGTCTTTAATATAGATGTATCTTGGAATTACCGTTTTAATCGCTATTCATTGTATAATATAAATTATGTGGGTTCTTTTTGTTTCTTATTTACCCACAAATGTCGTACTACAGTATGGCTGTAATTAAGGATACGATAATATTCTAAGCTCTACTGAAAATATTGACGAAGCAAATTATTAAACATAAGTTACCTCCAAACCTAAAGCAAGCAAATTCCTAGCATTAAGCATAAATAGCGATCTAATTTTAATTTCATAATTATTTATTATTAAAAAGATTCAACATTGACGTCTGCGCCTAATTAATTAAATTAACAATTAATATTATGTAAATTTTAGAACTTTATTAAATAAGGTAGCAGAAATCTTGCCAGTGCAGTTAAAAACTGTAGCTCCAGATGAAACTTATAATGTTGGCAAGCATCCGGAATCGGCAGCTTTAACAGTATCGGGAGGAACGGTGACAGTTAGTGTCACTCTAACCAGTCCTTTAATGCGCGATGCAACGAAACCAGCCGCCCCCGCAGGTAATTCAATCGTCTCTTGTATTTGCACCGGCCAAGAAAAGGATAATCAAAATATGAGTTTTTTCAATGGGACCTCTAAATAGAAAAATGGGCTTACCATCTCCTGTTACTTTTATTATTCTATTACGTACTTATATGTCTGATGATTAGAATTAGATTTAGTTTGTTCTTTTCATGGCCTGGAAAAGGTTTTGAGTTAACGTTTTTTTCCAAGCACCAGGTAAGCGGCAGTTTTTCACAGTTCCAAGGACCTCGCGGCGATGTTGCCAGTGTGTATACATATAATACGCTCTATAATATAAATTTAAATCTTCTTAACGTAACGGCATTTGTTTGTATTGTATAACTCGAGAGTATGGAGTTTCGCGTTTTACAAACGTACAAATGCAGTAGCGTTTAACGAAGTTTTATCGCACTTCAAATAACTTGATTCACAAAAGAAAATTCTTTACGGGAAAGAGAGAGCGTAAACTTGATACATAGTAAAGTTTCTTTCGTTCGTTTTTATTATCATTAATCAAATTTTGAAATATTTAAGTAAAATTAGAAGAAGACGAAAAAAAAAAAAACAAATTTTATTTCTTGTTTTATATTAGAAAAATCAATGTAGTTTACGATTTAGCGTATCCGATTCACGTTTACAGCAGCTAGCTAGAGTCTCCTTCAAAGAAGAGTTTTTCCTGTGATATCGCATTATAAACGTGAAAACGCTTTCGATATCCGGAAAACAACGCTGAGGCAATCTGAAAACTATGGACTTTTTGATCATGCATATGAATAATACACCCTCTATCTCTGAGTGTAGTTCAGTATGACGCTTAACGTTTTTTTCGTATCTGATCCCATGTGTAACAGACAATGATAGTGATAGTTTATCATTTGCAAATATTATGTTTTTTATTTATAATTAATTCCTTTTCCATTTTTTGCAATAAAGTAAATAAATGGCACTATCAATTCTGAGGTATTGAGATTATCACTTCCATAGAGCTCGTGTCAGTTATATGGAAATGAGTAAAATAATAATAATAATTAAAAAAAAAAACGTTTCTGCATCGAAGCACACTCTTCAACTCCAGTTTAATTGTTTCTTTATTTTATTTTATTTTGAGTAGAGATAATGTAAATGAAAAAAAAAAAAAAAAAAAAAAAAAAAAAAAAAAAAAATTAAAAAAAAATGAACAAAAAAAAATTACGATAATAAAGAAGAAAACAGAGATAAGAAAAATTTATTTCACAAATCTAATGCGTAGATACATTAAAAAGAAATAAATAAGATAAATTAATTAACAGACTAATACAAAATTACATATGCAAAAATAGAGGGATACTTTTCCAAGCTGGGCATGATCAAACACTCTAAGTGTTGTCTAAGCGTGTTGTGCTTTCTTTGTTGGAATCTCAGATAATGCTGGACAGCAGCAACAAGGAGCTGCCCAACAACAAACGACGCCCGCGACGCCGGCCGCGACGAAACCAGATCCACCAGACGTACTTCCCAAGGCTAAGTGTTTGGAGGCTTTAGCTGCACTGAGGCATGCCAAGTGGTTTCAGGTTTGAATTCAACTCAACCATTCAAACAGACAGTTTTATTAGAAAACAGAGAAATTTATGAACAAAATAAACAAACAAACAAACAAACAAACAAATAAATAAGTAAATAAGTAAATAATAATAATAAAAAATGAGAATAAATGAAAAGAAAAGAAGAAGAAGAAAAAAATTGATTCACGACATTTGATTTTGATAAAAGAAAAAAAAAAGAGACTTTTAACGTTTATAATAGTGACATTAAACGTCGAGTGCAAGTTGTCCTCTCTCTCTCTGTCCGCAAAAAAAGTCTATGAAAATCATACAAGGATAAAGCGTAAATAAATAAGCAAAGGGAACATGTAGGTTGAAGAAAACTAGCTGTTTTAGTAACTTCCAGCCTTGTGATCCAGCTTTTGTTTTTCTAATTTTAATCGTTTATCCGTAGCATGGAAATATCTATGTGTTATAATATAGCGTTTTTATGTAAGCTCCCATGCATAATCTCGTTTGAGCACACTCTGTGCCTTAATTATGCTTTGGCAACCTTAGATTGAGCTTGGAAGTTGTTTGTGAATACTAATAAATCTCGCTGAGTATAAAAAAAAAAGAAAAAAAAAAGAAAAAAGTAAGTGAAGGGAATGGGGTTGACTTGTGTGGATGCCTTTGATAAGCAAGTGCCAAGAGTGCGATCAAAACAGATTATTTAAAAGCATGAACTTTCAAGCAAGTATAATTTCATGTTATTGGCTTATAGTCAACATGCGACTATACTTGTCTGGGTTCATTCCAATTTCTCCTTTTAATATTTGCGACATCCAGAATAATATGACAACACTATTCTACTTAATTACTACTTAATTACGTTATCATTACCTTACTTACTACTAAGCTCAAGTTTAAAACGAAAATTCACGTTTTATGTAGTTCGGATTAAATTTTATTTATGTTAATTACTTGTTATTTTGCAAACATTTTTTGTCAATGGGATTGATTGATTATTCTGGATCATCTTGCACCACGTAGCCTAGACTGAGTCTGTTCTAGGTCTGTCTTAGAAGAAGAAAAATAAATTTATGCATTCGTATTAAAAATACTTAGTAAATTTATTTGAAACATGTGCGCTCGCTTTATTTTGTTTGAAATAATACGTACAATAATAAAAATAACCACTCGTTGCGTAAATTTTCAATTTTCGATGCTTTTATAGTTTTATATATGAATGTGCTTTTATCGAGCACCAACAGCAATAATAATAAAGAGACAGACAAGCACATGCACACAGTGTGTCGATACGTGTACCGGGTGTTTTTCACCTATTAAGTCGACAATTTTTCTCGACAATTTTTCGACGGAAGTATATATATATATATGTGTATATATATATATATATATATGTGTATATATATATATACATACATAATATTGCCGACAGTCTCTTTGGTGATAATTTTCTTTTTTGTATTTACGGTGACACGAACACATTATAAACACCCGGTCATATTGATATGGGCTAAGTATAAGTATAAATAATATTGAACGGTATGATAAACAAGTAGGCACGAGGCTGGAAGAGTAGTGCTAAAATTCGCACAGAGCAAAGTTTGAGCTAGATTAGGTTGATATTCCAATGATTTTATATAACCTTAATTGGTAATGTATGCATAATTGTTATTAACAGGCTAGAGCAACTTCGCTGCAGAGCTGTGTTATGGTTATACGCATAATGCGCGATTTATGCAATCGCGTACCAACCTGGGGTCCACTAAATCCATGGGTATATATCATTATACTTTTCACTATAATTTTTAACTTTACAAATTAAATAATGACTTCATTTATTACCATTTGCATGGAGCATTATTTCAATTTATGAGTTAGCAAATTTATAGCTTATTAAATATTCAAACACACACATGCGCGCACACATGCATATGTTTATATATATTATTGTTATTAATTGGCTATTTTAGTGTGAAAATAAAATGTGAATTATAAAATTGAATTAATATTATCGGTAAAATAGCAGTATCTATTAATTGTGAAATTGTAAAATTTTAAGATAGCTTATATATCGTATGACATTGTTATCGGTAATTATAAAGTATTTTCTGCTTATTATATATGTGATAAGTTTAATAGCATTTAATCAAATTTTATCGGGTCCAACATTATTTTTAATGCGATGAAATAAATACAGTACATTGGCTAGCTTATTAAGTTCAATTTTACAATATCCCATAAAAGTATTTATGGCAAAAGTATCCAGATTATGTTCTTGGTTATTTTTTTTTTGTTTTTGTTTTTTTTTGTTTCATAACCGATGCAATTGAAAATGAAGAGAAAAAAAGAAAAAAGAAAATGAAAGCAAATGTTTCAAATCAGGGTTTCAAAACTGATTTGAGAGTATTATTACATGAAGAAATTTCACTCCTTTCACTGTATACATAATAGTTACAACAATGCATTCTTATAATTAATCATAATTGAATATAAAAAGTATGAAATGATTCGTTTTAATGGTAACATTGTGAGTTTTTGATTGTTGGAATAAATAATATTATTTATCAATTAATTTAGGCTTTGGAGTTATTGACTGAGAAAGTGCTTAGCACCGCTGGTGTACCACTCAGTCCAGGAGCAGCACTGCGACGACTTTTGGAATGCGTGGCCGGTGGAATCTTACTTCCAGGAAGTCCAGGTGGGTTGTTATAACATTAACGTGCAATGTTTTATTCGTAAGAAAATTGAATGATGATAGCGATGACGAGACTGAGAGCAGCATATCGTTACTTATCGATTTCGAAGACAAGTTTTTTGGATTCCTGGTCGTTTAGTAACGTTCATATGCCGTTTCGAGGATTATTTTGGCAATCTGACAAATTTGCCTAGGGCATGACATTTTTACATATCCTTCTTGCTACCTCGCATAGAGCTAAAACAAATTCTGTTTTCCCATCCGCCTAGGCTTGTCGGATCCTTGCGAGAAAGATCCAGTGGACGCGATCGGTAACATGACGGCCCAGCAGCGAGAGGACATCACTGCTTCGGCACAACACGCCCTACGACTTGTGGCTTTTCGACAGATACACAAGGTCCTTGGTATGGAACAATTGCCACCACCTAAACACAAGGGCGGATCCTTCACCCGTAAGCGAAGACGCGATAATAGCAATGGTGAAAGTACAGACACAGAGGCATCAAAAAAGGACAAAAAAACGGAAGAGATTAAGATGGAGACGGACTCCAAGTAGATTTCACCAAACACATTCAATTTAATACTTAAGTCATAACTTATAAAAATTGAGATCAACAAAAAACACAATGTACACGGAGAAAATGTTTTCCCTGAAGTATGTATTGTGTCGATTGCTTTGTTTTTGAGATGTAGGAGAGATGGAATGAATCGTATATAACAGAATTAGAAGCTACTTTTCTGGGAGAAGCCTTTAAAATCTGGTATTATCGAAATATACTTTTTCTTAAGCACGAAAAGGTAAAGTTCATTGCTGACGAATAGCGATAGTTTAGCAGTGTCATTATGTGCTTTTTAAAAACAAGCAATTGGTACAATAATTGTTTTAAAAGTAGTTTTTGTCAGAGGGGAGGACAGTAGGCATTGTGATGATTAGGTTGAACTACTTATTTAGCTATGCATCTTTAAAGCAAAACAGCAACAGTCACAATTGTAATGTGAACAGAAGCTAAGTCGATGTGGGAGCTGTGGAGATTTGTAACTTTTGGAAGTTAAGAGTAGATGTAGTTTGTATTGGGACTTCATGTGTATATTGTGTGTGTAGTTTTACAAAGAAGCAAAAGAAAAACACTTCAAAGTAAAAGACTTGTTATTGCAACAGTGTGGTTCAAAGTTGATCTTAAAAAATGAAGATTTCCTGTAAGTGCATGGAATTTAAATGTGAACCCAGTCTTTAAAAGCACTGAACAACTTTATTAATTGTTTGACATATAACTTTAATCGAGAATAAGACCAAAATATGCTCCTTGCAGAATTATATCTTTGATTCTCCTACGTTATAACGATGAATTCTTTTCGGAGGCGAATGCGTATGGCTTACCGCTGTATTACAAAAAAAAAAAAAAAAAAAAAAAAAAAAAAAAAAAAAAAAAAAACACGTCGCTGAATAATATGAAGAAAATAAAGAAAAAATTAAAACGAAAAGAGTTCAGAAGTTTGATTTACTTAATTAATCCACTTCTCCTGCCAATTCTTATAAAAGGAAATATTTATTTGTAAATGATACAAAGAAGAATGTCTGCAACGAGATCATGAAAGAATTTTTGCACTAACGACCGCACATACAGTACACTGTGTTCGTAAGATATTGTTTATAGAATTATAGAAATCACATAATTTGTAACTGATTTGAAAACTGCTGTATTTATCCTTGGATCGATAAGTGATGCTGCAGTTTTAGATTTGCGTGTAGAGTAGTTTTTCACTCGTTTTATATAAATTTCTGATATCAAAAGCTGAAAGAATTTATCACTTTTTTCATTATTATATATAATACTTTTACTTAAAACAATTTCATTAATATAATATTGTATCAGAAATGTAATTTTAAATTTCGAAATAGTTATATGTTCCTAATTAAATCGTAAACTATTTACATTCGCATTGCGCTGTTTAATAAAAACATAAAAACTTTATACATAATTTTATTATCTCCATATTATTTGTGACAAGGAAATGCATTTTTTCCTGGTAAAACATAGGCTGGATCAAAATTTTATAAATATATGCATAAAATTTATGCAGTTCACTTGAGATTTTTGTCTTAAGTTTATATAAGTAATTCCTTTATTGTGCAATCACAAGATTTTTGTAACAAAATGCAATGTGTTGTTAAGTGAGCTTACTTTAAGTTAAGTACTGGAAAAAAATAAACTTTTCTGTTTGTCATTCACATTAATTAAGAACCCCCATTGACGTCTATTTTCATTGTGTTCATCGTTTTCCTGCAATGAATAAATAATAATTTATAAAATACATTTTTAATCTTTTACGTTCATTGGCTGCTCATTATTTATATCTATATACCTACACACACACACACACAGTATTTAAACTCTAAAAGAGAAGAGAACAAAAAGGAAAAAGAAAATGAATTGACTTGAATTTGTTTTTTTTATTCTTAGGGAGAAAAAAAAACGTAATTTTAGTAATTTATCATCATTAATAATAAGTATTTTGTATATCAAAAATAAATAATAAATATAGCATAGATATTCTCAATTTTTTTTTTTTATGAATAGTTTGATGTAATTTTGTTTTTGAATAATTATTCTTTATTATTTTTTTTATTTATCTTTAATTATGAAAAATGCATAAATAAATCTTTCTACATGAATTTGTTTGCATAATTTGTTATAACCTTTCTAGCGAATATTAATACGTTGATATTTCTTAAAAAAAAAAAAAAAAATTTATCCCAAAAGCATTGGAAATAATTCTATTCAATTTCGTACGATATTATTTACCATTTATTATGTTGGTTATATAATATTAATTTTATTATTAGTCATAAATGTCTGATTACAAATGTCACGATTTTTTTTACGTATTATCTAACAATATCGGAAGAAAATAAATATTATAGCCATATTGAAGAAAACATTCGCCAAATTTTTTCTTTCTTTTTTTTCTTTCTTTTTTTCGTTCTTTTTACCTAATAATGAATAGTACATCGTTTCAATTAAGTTGCAAAATATTAATAGTTTTTATATGGTAATTAATTGCGCAGCTTATTGCTTACTTATAGTTTTATTTGTAACAAAATATGAAGTAACTTTATAAATGATAAATATTGAAGAAAACAAATTTAATCGCAATTTTACGAGCTATTTATAAAAAGCTTTTAATAACGATTTTTATGAGATGTTTCGATCAAGTTTATAGTTTTTTTATTTTTTTTTTAAACTAACAACTAGTTAGGAGCTCAAAGTGTAAGAATAATAAAATAGGTAAATTAATTTTTTTTTATTAAAAATTGATACATTTGTACTTGAAAATAATGGCGATGTGAAAATTCGCGTGCGAAATCTTTCCACTAAAATCAAGGCACAATTTTCCGATGCAATATAAAAATAATATCTGAATTTAAAGTATTTATTTTTAACGATGGATCAATAGGATTCAAACAATAAATTCTCTCATTTGGAAATATTACGATCGTCCAATAAAGCAACATTAATGATCGCCATTCTTTGAACAAATATCCATCGGCATTTATATAAATTCTCTTGAATTATGCATTTTACGTAAATTCGAAAATACGAGAAATGCATTTTAAAAAAACGACCATTAGGATTTTTCATAAATAGATCGATTAATTTTCTACCCATCGGGCATCTCATTCATCTAATAATCCAAGGAAAAAAAGATTAAAGCGTACAAGTTTAATCCTGTTTGGATATAACGAAGAGTTCAACTGGTAACAAAGCCATTGTCGCGTGAAAGATTCTTTAATCCAATTTCGCACGCAACTAAAGTAATCGGAGGAGGGAATAATGAAATAAAGAGAATAATGAGTAAAGAGTTAAGTCGAGGCATTGGAGGATTGGGCGAGCATTGGGCCCCGAGTTAATTAATTTTTGTTGATAAAGCTTATTTTCAACGGACCGCGGCCACCGCGGCTACGTGCGTCACAAGCTCATTAGCCAAAGTGGACTCTGCCAAGCATCATCCAGTTATCCGAATAGAGACGGCGACAAATAAAGAGAGATAGATAGATAGATAGATAGATAGATAGATATAGAGAGAGAGAGAGAGATAAAGATATATATATATATATATATATATATATAGGGAGCCAGGGAGAGAAGCCATTCGTTAAATGCGAATCTTCTAGATCGCCGTCGTCGTCGTCGTTGTCGTCATATTGCCAGTGTCAGTGACAATGTCGTCCAGCCAATAGGAGCTTGGGATGCTTTCCTCTCCATCCAATAAAACCTTTCCACGCATCCGGTCATTCCGCGTCTATAAATAAGAGTGAGCAGTGAGAGGACGAACAATATCGAGATTGTAGTTGGCGAGTCAGCATCATCTGTCCTATTGTATATTGATTCATCGATTATTATCGAGTCAAGGAGAATTTAAATTTTGTTGGAAACGCTTTGTTATTGAAATATTATTCCTTTGCGAGTTGTCTGGTAGAGCTTAGGTAAGTGATTAAGAAGACTTATAATTATCAAACTGCGTTGGGGCGTGGCCGTGGGGATTGGGATTGGGGATTGCATTTTCATGATAAAATAAAATTAGGTTCGTCAATGAAATTTGGATTAACAGTCGATATCCTTTTTTTTTTTTATTGGTAATCGTATTGTTTGTTTAAATTCCTTTTGTGATTAAGAGTAATCTGTAAATGTTTAAAGAAAGAATGATGGAAATATGATTGGGCAACACGAATTGCGCAGTTGATTTTGGGGTACTTTCTTAATAAATTTTATGTCTAAATATACTCGAACCATGGCTTGTTTAAGCTAATTATTTATCATCTTCAGTTTTTACGCATTTATTTATACAAATTATATAAATACAGGTGAATGAGGGCCGGGAGGGGGGGTGCTCGTTTTCTTTGTTTGAACTTTGAGGAAAATGGAAGCCATTACTGGACAAAATCTATTTTTAAAACTTAATACTATTATTGTATCAATATTCATGTATTCTCATAAGCATATAGATATAATAGAAAATTAAATTCCAATTTATTAAAATTAATGAATCCACAAAAGGTCCAAAGTATTTATAATATGTTGATTATTTAAAACATTTTTTTTCATTTTCTTTTATACAATTCATTATATATATCATTGAATTTTATATTTGATGTATTATGCAAACTCCCTATAAGCGAATAAATTATAACTGTTATCAAAAAACATGGTAGAATTTGACAAATTGACGATAATGGGATAAATTAAGAGGGTATCCGCCATTTTGTATGTACCAGCTGCGAGATTGATATATAAATTACAGTTAAGATAATTTATTGTTCTTTTAATGGGTGATTTTGAAATATATTTCGTATTTATTAATAAATTAGAAATGATAAGAAATATTATTGTAAATATTTAATTTAAAAGAATGACATTTATGATATATGCAGAATAAATTACTAATTTTTATTTCAATTTTATAACGAATACAGATATATTTTTATTTCTTTTTTTTGGTGATAATTCTATCTATTAATTGGTACAATTTTCAACATAGTTTTATATTTGAACATAGAAATTAATTGAAAACATAAATTTACTGTTGATTGTACATATTATTAACTATATAAAGTCATAAACTTTTATGAATTTTATTATTTTTAATTTCGATTTAATAAAATTAGAATTTTCAAACAAAAATAAAAACTAACCCATTATTTCAATATCTGAAAATATAAATGACACGTAATATATATATATATATATATATATGAAATACAATCATATTTAAAGCCAGTGTACATAAATATACAACACAATCTAAATAGCTTTTGCTTTATTTATTTCAATTGATTAAGAAAAAACATTGTACTTGCAGAAAATCATGCAGATCTTTGTAAAGACATTGACTGGGAAGACAATTACTCTTGAAGTCGAAGCTTCAGACACAATAGAAAATGTCAAGGCTAAGATCCAGGACAAAGAAGGCATTCCCCCTGACCAGCAGCGTCTGATTTTCGCTGGTAAGCAATTGGAGGATGGACGTACTCTGTCCGACTACAATATCCAGAAGGAGTCAACTCTTCATTTGGTTCTGAGACTGAGAGGAGGCATGCAAATTTTCGTTAAGACATTAACAGGCAAAACAATTACTCTTGAAGTCGAAGCTTCGGACACAATAGAAAATGTCAAGGCTAAGATTCAGGACAAAGAAGGCATTCCCCCTGACCAGCAGCGTCTGATTTTCGCTGGTAAGCAATTGGAGGATGGACGTACTCTGTCCGACTACAATATCCAGAAGGAGTCAACTCTTCATTTGGTTCTGAGACTGAGAGGAGGCATGCAAATTTTCGTTAAGACATTAACAGGCAAAACAATTACTCTTGAAGTCGAAGCTTCGGACACAATAGAAAATGTCAAGGCTAAGATTCAGGACAAAGAAGGCATTCCCCCTGACCAGCAGCGTCTGATTTTCGCTGGTAAGCAATTGGAGGATGGACGTACTCTGTCCGACTACAATATCCAGAAGGAGTCAACTCTTCATTTGGTTCTGAGACTGAGAGGAGGCATGCAAATTTTCGTTAAGACATTAACAGGCAAAACAATTACTCTTGAAGTCGAAGCTTCGGACACAATAGAAAATGTCAAGGCTAAGATTCAGGACAAAGAAGGCATTCCCCCTGACCAGCAGCGTCTGATTTTCGCTGGTAAGCAATTGGAGGATGGACGTACTCTGTCCGACTACAATATCCAGAAGGAGTCAACTCTTCATTTGGTTCTGAGACTGAGAGGAGGCATGCAAATTTTCGTTAAGACATTAACAGGCAAAACAATTACTCTTGAAGTCGAAGCTTCGGACACAATAGAAAATGTCAAGGCTAAGATTCAGGACAAAGAAGGCATTCCCCCTGACCAGCAGCGTCTGATTTTCGCTGGTAAGCAATTGGAGGATGGACGTACTCTGTCCGACTACAATATCCAGAAGGAGTCAACTCTTCATTTGGTTCTGAGACTGAGAGGAGGCATGCAAATTTTCGTTAAGACATTAACAGGCAAAACAATTACTCTTGAAGTCGAAGCTTCGGACACAATAGAAAATGTCAAGGCTAAGATTCAGGACAAAGAAGGCATTCCCCCTGACCAGCAGCGTCTGATTTTCGCTGGTAAGCAATTGGAGGATGGACGTACTCTGTCCGACTACAATATCCAGAAGGAGTCAACTCTTCATTTGGTTCTGAGACTGAGAGGAGGCATGCAAATTTTCGTTAAGACATTAACAGGCAAAACAATTACTCTTGAAGTCGAAGCTTCGGACACAATAGAAAATGTCAAGGCTAAGATTCAGGACAAAGAAGGCATTCCCCCTGACCAGCAGCGTCTGATTTTCGCTGGTAAGCAATTGGAGGATGGACGTACTCTGTCCGACTACAATATCCAGAAGGAGTCAACTCTTCATTTGGTTCTGCGACTGAGAGGAGGCATGCAAATTTTCGTTAAGACATTAACAGGCAAAACAATTACTCTTGAAGTCGAAGCTTCGGACACAATAGAAAATGTCAAGGCTAAGATTCAGGACAAAGAAGGCATTCCCCCTGACCAGCAGCGTCTGATTTTCGCTGGTAAGCAATTGGAGGATGGACGTACTCTGTCCGACTACAATATCCAGAAGGAGTCAACTCTTCATTTGGTTCTGAGACTGAGAGGAGGCATGCAAATTTTCGTTAAGACATTAACAGGCAAAACAATTACTCTTGAAGTCGAAGCTTCGGACACAATAGAAAATGTCAAGGCTAAGATTCAGGACAAAGAAGGCATTCCCCCTGACCAGCAGCGTCTGATTTTCGCTGGTAAGCAATTGGAGGATGGACGTACTCTGTCCGACTACAATATCCAGAAGGAGTCAACTCTTCATTTGGTTCTGCGACTGAGAGGAGGCATGCAAATTTTCGTTAAGACATTAACAGGCAAAACAATTACTCTTGAAGTCGAAGCTTCGGACACAATAGAAAATGTCAAGGCTAAGATTCAGGATAAAGAAGGCATTCCCCCAGACCAGCAGCGTCTGATCTTTGCTGGCAAGCAACTCGAGGATGGACGTACTTTATCTGACTACAATATCCAAAAGGAGTCTACGCTTCACTTAGTGCTTCGTTTGAGAGGTGGAATGTAGATTTAATATATATTGTTATTAGTTGGAAAGGATTCAGCGTAGGGAACTTTTACCTTAGGTCGAGGTTTCGCTTATCGTAGTGGCGAACCCTGATAAAAAAATTTCTCTGGTGTGTCAGGATATATAAGGCGATCATTGCCATACTTAATATTGGCATATAATGCAAGCTATATTATATTATACATAATTTACTTGGTTTTGTTAATGTCTGGACCGTTTTGTGAATGTGAACTTGGCTAGTTTTGACTGAAAAGTAATAATGTCAAGGAAACATGTACACGAAACTGCAATATTTAATTTCGATGATTTTTTTAATGTAAAACGCTTGAGTCAAATAAAATTCATTTTTACATTACTTTGTATTAAATAAATATTTGTTTTTATAATGCCCTATATCAAATTTTATCAAATTCCAATATTTTTGTGTGTATAATATATATATATATATATATATATATATACATTAGATTTAATAAAGCTCAATTGTAATGTATGTTGTATTTATTAATGTATTGTTTGCTTATTTTATTTGGTAAAATGTCTCAATTTTTTATGTATAAGTCGTTTTAATTTTTGTCATTATGAACGAATAAGTACATATAAATTTAATTTTCGCTATGTCCAATGTTTTTACATAATTGAAATTGTCAGATATAATTAAATTTCTTTAACCTTAACAATGGCCGTAATAATGTTTTTTACCAGTTTAATATATTGGATGAGTCCAATTTAAAAAATATTCATTTTAGCATCATTCGTACGTCATTATTTTAATAAATTACATCTTCATTGTATTGAAGTAATTTCATATTTCCGGCTTCTGGTGATAATTGTATGTTTGCATTGGAAAATGCATTATATTGATTTAAAGTGTACTGCTACATGTGATTCGTATCACTTTAGTTCATGAATATTTTCGAGGTCTTTAATAAGCGTTAGTATTTTCAAAGCTGATAATGTCACATCGATTATGTAATTAATAAAATTACGTTTCGTGAGTGTGGGGCAATGCGGGCGAGGACGGCAGGAGAGGAGTAACGTATCGTAATAATCGGTGATTTAGTCTGGATTGTTTTTGGCACTACCGGTTGGTTTGGTGCAAAAGTGTGAGGGTTGCAAAGTGACATCCTCCCTGCCTTCCGCAATCGCAAATTGCTACGTCTATCTCGGCTTTAAAGCGGATTCGCGAAATGTACGAGAGGAAGTGGCCCGGAGGGTTTTTGCGGTTATTGCCCAACTGTATTAATCGCGCCTTGCACACATTGTCCCCTTGTGACGTGATTTAATTGCTGCTAAGGGATAAGCCCGTGCGCACTTGTTACACAGGGAAATATCGGGATAAATACGCTCTTGTGTAAATTTTAGGTCGTCGAAAGAACAACGGGCGTTTAATGAAAATATGCAAGACACATTTGAAAGTTGCGTTTTCACATTCGAACGAGTCTGTTGTTTTTTACGTTGAGCGAACGTTATTGGAAAGGCTACATTTTGATTTTGATATTATGAAGAAACACGAATGGTAAGTACATTGATTGAACAGTAAAAATATTTCTCTTTTTTATTAAAATGCGGGAGTCATTACCGACAACTGTTATTCTGTTTAGTAGTGTTATTTTTATGAGTAACTTTTTTTTTATATATATAATTTGTTTTCAATTTGTTTCTTTTTTTTTTTACAAGCTATTGTATTTTTAAAAATTCTTTAAAAGATATTGCCTTTCAATAAAGCGAGTGGTAATGATTTTCATGATATTTATGAAACGTATAGATGTATGAAAATAATGGATTTTATTATAAATGATACGCCTATGAAATCTGCATTGCAAGTTGATAAAAATATACTTGATCAAAGAACACATGCAAATAATATTTATCTCTATCTAACTATTTATGTTTATATATATATATATATATATATACAAATATTAAAATCTAGTCTAGTGAAATCTATTGTTCTATTGATCAAACACGATATACACGTACATCTACTTTTTATTTTCTACCTGATGTTTTTGATAATTTTGTTCATTTAATTGAGTTAGCATTTTTTTGTTGTATATCGATGGTAATAATAAGATTTTTTAAAGCAAATTTACGAAAAGAAATTACAGTGAGATTAAACAATAGATTTAATGGTTTATAATAGTTTTGTTAAAGAAAACGCCGTTATACGTTGTTTTTCATTTATTATTTTACAAATGTTTAATTATTTCAGCTAATACATTGGTTATGAAAGAATTAAAAAAAAAAATAAAAAATAAAAAATAACATTAAAAGGTATATGAAAATAACTTTTGTTTAGATTGTAGGACATTTTCTAAATATAATTTAAACCTGCCTTTTACTTGATTCTAATTTGAAATATACAAAGAAATATAGTTTCATGGAGCAATAAATTTATGCTCGCTACAGAAACAAGAAGACGCTACTTATAATGAAGAAAAAAAAGAAAAAAGTTCTATTTTCAGTAGCACAGTAAAGCCATCGGATATATCTACTAAATGCTTGTGGATTACAAAGGTATGAGGGAACAATAATGTTAAGGTTTTTTTTTTTATGAAAATAGAATACATAGAATATATAAATTCGAATCTTCTGCCGAAACGTGCAAGTACATTCCTATTTTAGCTTTTAAAACAGCTGCATTTAAAATTTTGACTTCAACGCTTTGTTGTACGTAAGCATTTCTATTATTTTACGATTATTATTATTATTATTTTTTCATTATTACTCGTATCGAGTCTATGAAAGAAGAAAGAAAATAAAAGATAACAAGATAGCCGGTAAAACAATATAGACTCTTTATTTTTGACAGTTTTTATAAAACCCCGATCAAAATAATATAAATGCTTTGACACTTACGACTGTAGGTATCTGTGTCGACACAAATTCATTGCAATCCAAAGCAAATCAACGCCGTATATTCCGTTAAAAAGAATATCATACACCGTATCCCATTACTCGCAATGTCGTGAGCTGATGCAAAAATCGTGAGGGGAGTGGGGAGAGTGAAGTGTCACGTGGGTATGGCGTGTATCTCTTTACATGCGGAATTAAATTTTTCGAAGATCGAGCTTGTCGAGAGCTTTTTAGCTTGCGTACTTTCAAACTTTCAATGGCCGCGCGCACCCATTGTTCGGAACGATTTGGTGCCTGGGTGGAGGAGGAGGAGGAGGAGGATGGGAGGGGAATTCGTTAGAACGATGAATTATGGAAAACCATGCGATTACGAATGCCTCCATAATTCCAGGAAGATTCGCTTTATATTCTCGTAAATTTGCAGTTTACCTCGGCGCTCAATAATAGAGTGGCATTACACGTGTGGTGTATGAGCTTGGCTCGACTAAAGATTGAGGAGAGAGAGAAGTGAATATGGTTCGGTCTAATGCTTCGCTCTAACGCGTTAAGGACTGCAATGAAGCTACGAATACATTTGAATTGTTAATTTTGTTCTCTATTGACGTGGAAGTATTTTGATAAATGCGCTGTTCGATATTCCATATCGTTATGTTTTTACTTTTACAAGCGCGAGGATCAGTTTTTTTTTTTTCATTTTTCGTTTTCATTATCTTCAAATTTCCAGACAGTTTATTATTTATTTAGAAGATGGGACAATTGTCTATGAGCATTTAGTGGTGGCGTTCCTTGGAATTAAAGTACTTTAACAAAAAACAGACAAATGTTCAAGTTACTTGTTTTTTATATGTAATCGCAGCAAGTCACATTAACGAATTCGATTCTATTCGATAAGTATCGGGAAATCTTTTCGGTTATAAATTTATGCATAAATATCGCAAAATGTATACCAGGTAGGAACATGTATTCGTTAAAAAGATGTATGCAATTTTTTAAAATCAACGCTATTCAACATTAGAAGTGAGAAGGACAATTATTTCATCGCCATCTTACCTGTCAAAATACAATTTCAATTCTAATCGCTCTAATCGCGACATTTATTTTTTTCGATTTTGATATTAAGTGTCGATGTACCTATTTACAGATTATTAGGAAATTAGAATTTTCCGTGCAAAGTGTAAGTAGCATCACGACACTTTTCTAGAAACTATGAACATTCTGCTCTTTACAAGTCCATTTTTCTTTTAAAAAAATCAATTCAGAGCCTCTCAAAACTTACAACGACTACATTGCAATTTCAAATAAATTCTAAATGCCAATTTAATATTGGCTAAATGTCTCCCAATAACGTTGGTGCATAAAACAATACAATCACGATACGATTGGAGGTGTGTCGAGTGGCCGGTAATGTTTAATTATCGTTAATCGCGATGTCGTAGTTCAGCAGCGTCAGATGAGCTTTTGTCAAAGCACCCATAGAATGCGTCACCAATCGCTCCCTCAAAATCGATTCACCCGGGTGCGTCAATCCTTCCCCTTTTTAAACGAGGCCCGAAATTGAAGGTCCCGGCCCCACCTTTGGCCGGAGCTCCGGGCACCGATAGCTGTCCGAAGGTTCGCGAGCTCGCCCCCTCAGCTGGCGATCGACCTCTCGGCAATCGAAGCGACGCGTGCCTCTTGCCGAGAGATCGGTCCCTAAAAATAAAGAATCGGCGGCACTGGCCGTAGAGGAAAAGGGGCGCGATCCTCGTCGGCGCCTTACAGAGGCGGAAGCAGCAATAGCAGCAGCAATAGCAGCAGCAATAGCAGCAGCAATAGCAGCAGCAGCAACAGCGGTGGCGGCAGCGGCGACGGCGGCGGCTCTTGCGACGGGGACTACTCCCGATGTAGTCAGTCTCCGAGCGACTGCCAGACTGCCCAGCGGTCCCCGCGAGCTCAGGAGTGCGCGTCGCGCCACCCGGACCACTATTATGCACCCGGCGAGTCCGAGTCACTCGTAGCCCCGTGTGCCCCCGCATCTCTGGGACTTTTGGTGGAGTTTCACGTCCCGCTGGAAATGCCAGAGGCCCTAGGGCTCTGACCGACAGTTCGACCAATCTTCGATCGACGATGATTTCGGCGCCGGGATTCCTCGCCGTGGCGGGTTGGCTCCTCGTCCTCCTCTTCAGCGACGGTGAGTCTTTCGGCCTCTCCAGACGGTGGATAATCCTCTTCTTCCCCGTCGCTATTATTAAAGCTCATTCGTTCGCGTTTCCGTGCTCCTTATCGCGCTTTATTCACTTTTTAATTATATTCCTTAAAACTTTTATTTAACGATTCCCTCCGTTCCGTAATAAGCTCCTTATATATATATATATATATGTGTGTGTGTGTCAAGGGAGGATATTAAATCGAAGCTCCTGAACGAACCGATTTCGTTAATGTTTTAAAAAGAGGTGCGCATACATTTTGTTTTAGTCGGTGATTATTAATCACCGTGGCCATTATTTATGCAAATGTATTGTACACTATATTTTCCTTACGGTACATCTTTTAATATAAATATTTCATTCTGTATATAATATATTCAAGATAAATTAGCAAGATATATATCATCTTAATTAAGATTGAAACGTCTGCGTTTCTTTATCAGCCGAAGAAAAATAAAGTCTTCTCCTGCGAGAAGATTTTTTATGGAATTAATTTGTTCAGCCGCTGCTCATGCTTCATTTTTCTTTCCTCTTAATTTTTAAATTTTAATCAGCTAAAACGGCGAATTTCAAGGATAAATATCGATATTATTAAGCGTTAATTGTGAAATTTTGTGTGTCGAGTGATTAAACTTTTTATAATAGAGAGACGTAAATGTTGATTGTATATTTTGATTTTTCGATACTTTTTGCGCAAGTTTGAGATTTAATTTCTTATAATAAATGTTTGATTTAAGAGACGCATCGGATCAAGAAAAATTCTAGCTCACACGCACACACACACACAAACAAACAAACAAACAAACAGAGAGAGAGAGAGAGAGAGAGAGAGAGAGATAGATTAATATGTTAAAGCAAGCTTTCATTCAAATCAACTTATTAGAATGTATTAATTTTAGCGTCGATTAAACGTTTAAATTTATTTTTTGTACAAAGTATAAATTTTTACTATTAAATAGGGGATCCTTTTAATCTTGTGATGAATATTCAACAAGTTTATCGTGATATTATTGCACCAATGGCGTCAAAACTTTTTTCTAAATTATCTCACAAAGCCAACGCGTTTTAGAGAATTGAGTTTGTAATTACGAAGATCGAGAGCTCACTCCGACATATTCATAACGTTACGCGGCAAATTAATTAAACCAAAATAACAATACCTTATTTTCTCATTACATTACTGTCCCGCGTTATCAAATCCATAATCCATACCCAAGCTTCACCCACATACTTACGCAAAAAATTAGCAATATTATCCATCGAATCGAATTCTTATTGGGAATCAATGAGTATAAAAAAAACTTCCCAACCAAATCCCTATGAAAATACCATTTTCACAACCACGCGTTTCCAATAAAATGCCCAAAGAAATTTTTTCACCTCATCGGAAGGCGCGACTTAAATTCTCAATAAATCAACGAGCCAATTACTCGTCGAATGCAAATGTCAACTGCCCCGCTCAACGGCAACGTCATTTTCCCAAAGCTCGACACTTGAAAGGGACTTCGCATAGAGTTGGCGCATAAGTGTCAGTGATTCCGCGCACCAAAGCGTGACACCAAAGAAACACAACGCAACGACATAACACGATGCCTTTTGTCCCTTTTGCTAACGTGGCAGAAGCGCCCCGGAGTCTCTGAATTGGTTGCCCGGAGCTCAATTATCGGCAGCTCGCCGATTGTCCCGTGCCGGTAATTAATTGGCATTGAGCGATCTCGGCGATCCGCTCCCGCTTTTATGTAGACGCGATTGTGCGTGTCTCGCTACTAATTGCGCTTCCGTGAGGCCGATCGGCCTACTTCTCCGTCTCCACCTGCTACATCTTTGCTGGGACGGGGGTGTAAGGGGGGTGGATTGTTGGAGGAGGGGGGGGGGCGCTCAGGTGTATTACGCGTGTCCGCGCATCGTGAAACTGGTTTGGAATTTTTGTTTATTTGGGCCCTCGCGTTACGGCCCCTTCTGTGGCAATTTGTGGAGTTTCCTTCGAAGGCTCTCGTAGTCGCCACGATTTTTCTTTACGATAATCGCTCGTCGATGAGAATTCTCGGGAATAATCGCAGATTAATGGATATTCTTTGCTTTTTTTCATTGGGGCCTTTATGATCTTGGGGAACACTCGAGTGAATGAAACTTGCAGGCGTTGTTTTAAATAATTTCTGGGTAATCATAACTGCAAAACGCACACTATGTATGCTGATTATATTCATGTTTTTTCAATAGGCTATTATCGTATGGATGTTTATGTTAGTGCCGAATACTACATTAATTATAAACTTCAAATAATTTACGCAATTCGTGGGCTAATTAACTCTTACTTATTTTTTCTTTTCTTTTTCTATATATATATATATATATATATATATATATATATTAAAATCAAGGATGATAGGAAGAAACGAAGTGTAGGCTATCGACGTACATATAAGTGCTTAAAGAAACATATAAATTTATTATAAATTGTCTACAAAATTCTAATAAATAGGTTTGGTTTGCTTTGAACCTTTCGCTTAAAAAATAATATTAGCGATATAATTTATGCGTGAAATATAAATTGTGAAAGTACGAGAGGAGAACAGGCGCCAAGGGATATATGCTGAAAAACATTTATGTTTGTTTTTCATTACATGTTTCCGTCATCGATAATGAGCTTAAACTTCGGAGTCAACGTATTATCTTAATTTCATTATCGGTACTGCATGCTTTCAAACGTGTTGCAAAAATTCAGTTAACGGCAGTATATACAGTATATCGTGGTGCATGTGTATGCGTAACCATTGTGGCCTACCATTTAATTTCATAAGTAACTAATTTGCTTTATAACGAATGTATACCTTTCACAATATGTTTCATTGGGATTAATTATTATTTCTTGTCGTCCTATCGATAAGCACTTAAATTAATTTTCAATCATTATCTTGTTATTGGGGGGATATAGAGTATTTGTTGAAAGCTTGATTAATTTATAATTATTTTGGTGGAAAATTTAAAAACATGAGAAAAGCAAGAGAAAAGAAAAGAGGAGAAAAGAAAAATAATCATTATGATTATGTTGAGTAATTAATCATTAAGTATGATATAGTTTATTTTCTATGCCGTTAAAAGCTAAGCCCCTTTATTAAATAAGATTTCTCAATTATTATGTTATCTAAATTAAGATGCGGCGTAGCCAACGCGTTTTTGTAGATAGTAAATTATGGTTTAAATGTTGTCTTTATGAAACTTCCTTTTCATGCATCTCACAAGCCAAAGTCGTAATAGCTAAGGGATATAAGTGAGAAGATAACCGTTGAGGACGTTAAATATGATTGCCAACTGAACCGCCAGTGAAAATAACTATTATAAATGATGATATCTTTGATTATACTTTTATTCCACTTCTGATAGTTTATCATACGAGTAATACTTGTTTATAGTGTTAGTTTGTCCAGATAAATTAAATGCATCGACAATCTTGCTAATATTCATTAGATAATTTATGTATGTACATATTACGCTCGTTTATGTATAAGCGAGAAGTTATGTTACTGTTAAAATGTATTTATATTGATAGAATATTACGGGTAACTTTTATTTTGAACAATATAATGAAGATATTATTAATGAATGAGACGTTGTAGATGATAAATATCAGTCAGAGGAAGGAGAATTTTAGCAAATTTCTCTAATGCTGACAAATTTTTCTATCCTGATATATAAATGTATCATAGTAATTAATAGATTTTATAATCTTGATGAAAGTACCAAGTTACAAAATTTCAAAATATTTAGTACGAAAATACTTATATATTTTGGCCAATAATAGCATTTATTTGAAATGTAGAAAGTAGGAATGATATTGTGAGAGAAAAAAATATATATTAAAATTATTTAGACTAGTTATTTATTATAATCACCATAGTAATAATGTGCGGAAAGCATATTGCACGAAGATTACTACACGGAACTGGTATTTTTCTAAAAAATAAAATTTACCATTTTGTCAAAAGGTTAGTATGAATATTACAAAGCATACAAAGTTCATTACTGCATAGTATTAAATATTTAAATCGTATATTCCACTAAGAAGTATCTATCTATTAAATAAAATTATTCGAGTACGCAAGTACTATATAATTACTGTATACATAATAACTAATAAAATAATCAGTTAATGAGATCGGTATATTTTCATTATTGCACAATTTGTTTGTTTAAATGTATTAAACTTTTTTTTTTACTCGATACAATTTCAGTTCAATTACATTTTAATATCTAATAACCAAAGTATAATTATTGTAAATTGTTTAAATAAAAAGAAGAACTGTAGACATAAATGCATAAAAAGTCAACATGATTAATTACAAATGTTACATCGATATCATGTGAATATTTCTTTATAAACAACTAAAAACATAAAACAAATATTATGTAACAAAGTATTGTATATATATATATATATATATAAAGTAATGCAAATAGATATAGTACATTGCATTTACGGTAAATTATAAACAGATATTTTTGAAATATTTGGAAAATTTGGAATAATAAATCTTATGTAAGAGTAAAATATAGCAAAATACATTAAAATGCAAAAAATTTAAAAATAATTTACGTGATATTTCTTTTAGTCGAATATTTACATATGCTTTATGAAAAAATATTTATTAAGTTATATTATATTGAATATTTATTAAATATGTTTTTTACTTTTGATTAATTTTTTTGAAAAAAAAAAAAATAGGATTACTATCAAAGTATTTTAGAATTTTTGTTTCACACTTAGCAGTTATATTAAAGAATAGAGAAAGCGGATAAAAATAAAACTCAATTTAAAAATAAAAAAAAAGATAGCATAAATATTTGTAACTATTATGAAAATTTTATCAATAAATCGTTGCGATATTAATGTTTGACATTAATGTAATAGCAATTTTTCCAATTTGAATCATAACTTCCTATAAAAGCCGATGGTTCTGACATTTCCGATATACATAATTGGCAG